CTGGTTCCCAGAACAGACAAGAACATAGAATCTCTTGACTGGGTTCAAATCTCCCATTCATTATACACAGGAGCTCCTCCAAGACCTGAGGGCCACATCTGATAGCTTAACAGTCATCTCATCTCATTGCATAGCCATTCTCTCTTGCCTCTACTCTTCCTCTCTTCTCCTCTCTTGGTCCATTTCTAACTTGTAGTCCACTCCCAGGTCCTCCATATCTTGACTGGAGAAACTTAAATTGCCACTCCCTGGAGATGACTCTCAGCACTCCTTGGATATTTTGAATAACTTGAGCCTGTTTTCTACTCTCATTGGTGATGTCCATGTCCATCAAGCATGAGAACATGTCCCAACATGACAAGGAGAAAAAAGAGAGCAAGCTGATTCCTTCCTTTACCTTTATCTAGAGAAGGTCCTAGAATCTAGCAAGAGGAAAAAGGAAAATCAAGACTGAGTTCCCTTTCTCATTGCAGCAGTGATTTTTGGTCATTCTATATTCAATCAAAGTTCCTCTTCTATGAAGAAGAGCAGGCCACTTTGGGTGTGCAGGAGAACTGTCCACTTTCTTGGTTAGAAAGTGTGGCTGAGGTACCTGCCTTGCTCTGTCTTTCTTATCTCAGGGGCTGCATAGAGCACCCAAAGTTTGCAGGGGAGAATTCTCAGTTAACACCTGCACATAATCATGGCCATAGAACAAGAGACCATGACTCACTCCTTTCCCACAAAGTGGGAAATGAAACTTCTTCTGGTTTGGGACTTTTACATCTACCTCCTCTGCAACTCAGAAGGCTCTCAGCCAAGTATTCCTGCTTCCTTCTCAACCTCCTCACGCTTGATCAGCCTTTTGTCTAGAGTTCAGCAAAACAGGCCTTCATTTCCTTTGCTTGGAATAAATGCCTTCCAACCTCAGAGCTTCCTATGCAATGAGCCCAAGCTTGGTGCAGCTTCCTAGTCCTTTCCTGGGACCACTTCAGAGGAATGTGGAAGTTCTGTTAATAGCTCATGCAGGAACAGGACCAGCATCGATTTGGGAAAGGTCAACTTCTTGACATAAGGAGAAAAGAGGGACCTGACAGCTCAAGGACATGTTGTGTTGTACTTTGTTCCTCAGATACTCCTTTGAATAGAATCTTGATCATTTGGGTTCTTTCCTACCTCTAGGTTTTGGACTATGACAGGTTGTGAGGGGAGGACAAGAGCAGCAGGACTAAGATGACTCTGGGCTTAGACTGGTTACCAAGTATGATGGTCCAGAAGCAGAATTTTCTAACCCCTTTTAAGCACTGGTGGAACCAAGGCTCTGCAACCAGATGAGTATTCCCGAGAAAGCAGATATGTTCACATAAGCTCCAAAGCAGATGGTCAGTGAGAGTCAAGTCCTCAGTTTAGGGAGCAGTTTGTACCAAAGTTTACAGCAAATAGCGGACTTGGAGTCTGCAGATCGAATGTGGGCAGGAAGAACACGAGATAGGACAGAGTACCTTCTTTGTTACCTGGCTTTCTTCTCAGGGTTGGGGTCCTCTTTGGGTTTCTTCATCCAGTCAGAGACTCGACTCCAAGCTTATCCCAGTCTGCTGGAGAGAGGAGTGAGAGGCTGTGGGCACACTGGGCTGACAGATGGGCTATGCTGAGCAGGGAAGCAGAGGGCTCTCAAAGGCAGCAGAAGCCCCTGCACATACAGGTGATGATTTCCTTGGCTCTGCGAATTTAGCCTGTGAACTTGGTCCCTGACACCACCTGTCATCCAGTGTCAGTGCTTAGATTAGGTGAAACAGGCCAGTTTTCTAGTCAGATGGCCAGAACTTGTATTCATTTCTGGGTAAGGTATAAATCACATCTTCTTATGCCCTTCCCATAGAAATTAGAACTTCTGGAGACAATGGAAAGAAGGGGTAGGTAGCTTCTAGTCTGAAGAGTCCTGATCAGCTATAAAGTCTTCTTCCCATCCATCCACCACCTTCCTTTCATTCAGTTCCTTTTCTATCTAATCAGCCGTTCATCTATCATCCCTTTCCATCCATTCATCCACCCACCCATTCATCCATTCATCTATTTGATTATCTCAACCAACCTCCTTCCTTTTATCCATGCTACTTCTCATCTTCTCCCTTCTCTCTTTCCTGCATTAGAAATATTTGTCTAGAATCTGCTGTGTACCATGTTTCTCAGATTTGGAAGATTTCTTTAAAATAGGAGGTTTCCAGGACAAAATTAGGTCTTCATTAAGCCTCAAGTTTGTTCATCCAGTCCCTAAGCATCTCCCATATGTGGAACTCTCCATTTAGAGTTGCACGGAGGATGTGATATGGGGAAAGAGATGAAGGGAAAAGAGACAGAAAAAATGGTTCTAGTCTGATGTTTCTGAGCCATCCTACTTTAAGATACAAATAGCTGCAAGAAGCAGAGGGGAGAATCCAAGTCTTACATTTATTTTGAATCTCTAAAGTTGCATTTCCAAAATGGGTATGAATCAGCTAAGACGTTTTAGCAAAGTGAAGTGGACTATTTTGTTGCAGTGATCTCTTAACTGATCTCCAAGACTTCTTACACTCTAATCTATGCTCTTTACCATGATAAGAGTGGTCTTTCTGCAATGTTCTAGTCCTCATTTCTCTTCTGCCTGAAGCTCTCCATTGGCTCAGTGCTACTTAAAAGCTCAAGGTCAAGCTCGGATCTTTGTGATCTTATTCCTGGCGTCTCTTTAGCCCTGTGCCCTCTCCCTCCTGTTGTCTCTGTGCGTTCACACAGTTTCCCAAGGATTCCATACTTATGGCTTACGGCCGTGGTTGTTGAATATGTTCATCTCTTTCCCTGGAACTTTTACCATGACTCTGTGCCTGTTCATGTACTGTTATGCTCAGCAGTTGTAGTGTAATTTATTTGTGCAGGTCTGTCTTCCTTATCAGATGACAGCTAGTTGGGTGAAAAGACTGTGAATTTTTCATCTTTGTGGCCCTGTGCTTCATTTACAGTCTGATACCTAGAAGGCAATCTGTGTTTGTAGAGTGAATGGATGGATAGATGGATAAACAACTCCTTGCAAGAGAAATGGCATAGCTTTTGGACAAGATGGCTAAAGCCTCTGTGTGACAGACTCTTAGGGAAGAAGATAAATCATTTCTTCCTGAAAGTTCAGACCTTTGAGGAAGGAATTAAGCAGTGACTTCAGGCACGCTGTCTGAGGTGTCTAGGCCAGGAATAGGGAACTTTGGGATGACATAGTGACCTGGTATGGGACTCGCATCCTGTTTTTTCCAGATAAAAGGTTTGTAGGAGAGAGAATCAGCCAGAAGCACCTGTGCGGCAAGGGCCGGTACTGGGGTGTGGGATGAAGCCTGAAGAGAAGGAAGCCCCTGATGCGCACTTTTTTGTGGATAAACAGAACATTGCCCTCTGGCCTCGAGGCAAGCACAGCCACTTCTCCAGCCTGATGGGAGCTCCATGTCCAAACCCACCCTCTGCTGCTCATTAACAAACCTTTGCTTCTGTTTCTTTTAGACCCTCCTTCCAAACAAGATCCACCTCTGGGCCCGAGGAAGTCTTTCACCATCCGTGTGGTATTGATCTGCTTGTCACTGATCATGGTCACCTCCATCGTGCTGCAGGCCATTCTCTGTAAGTCCTTAGGGTTCATGGTTTCCTTGGTTCTTTTCTGCCACTGGTTGGCTCCCTTGAGAGCTCTTACTCCCAGACCTTCTCGTTCCTGCTCTCCCTGGTCTCTCTGGCTTACGGTGTTTCATTTATCTCCATTATCTCCTCTCACCACACATGAGTAGATGTTCTTTCCTTCCCAGTTTCTAGGAGGTTTTTCCAACTGGTATTAGTGCGTGCATGCTTGTGCTCAGGGCTTGCTGTTTTCCTCTTTTTCCCCATGAAAGAATCGCTTTTTTTTTGTACTAGGAATCAAACTCATGACCTCATGCTTGTGAGGCAGGTGCTAAAATCCCATGCCATTTTTTCTCCAGATACCTGCCGCTCTGAACTTTGTGTCTTATGGAAATTCCCTAGCAGTGAGTGCAATGTCTGCAGACCCTGCAAGGGGTTGAGTTTCAAGGGAATCCTCTGCCTCAGCCACCCAGATGGAGAACCTGACCATCATCTAGCAACTCTGTGGTTCAGTCCCCTCACCAGGACTCCTCCATGCTCTCCTCATTCTTCTTTCCCTGTGAAGATCATGTTAATGGAATCTTCCTACTCATCATCTCTTCATGATCTGTGCCACTGGCAGAGCCTTATTCTTCCTACCAGGTTTCCAGAAAGCAGAGTGAGGGGACATCTATCTTTTCTCATTAGCATCTCCTGGCATATTTTGTCTCACATTGTTAGTGCTTCTCAGCAGTAACCTACTCGACAATCACTGCCCCATCCCAGATGTTAGTCTCTACACTGCCTTTCTCCTGTGCTCTTCTTTGATTACTCTTGGTTTACTTTTGAACCCTTCCAGTGCACCCAAGCTTGAAACCTGAACAGAGTGGAAAAGTGGGCAGGGCAGGTGTCATGACTTATGTCTAAATGGTCCCCCACCCTTCAAGCTCTTGTGGTCACAGGTGGGACTTTTCAGAAGTGTCTGGAGCTAGAGTGTGTGATGCTGAGGTTAAGGATGTGCAATTACTAAATTTGTCTACTGACTGGTTTGGCAATGGGTGAGGATAGTAGACGGTGTACCCTGGGTGTGCGTGTTACCTGCCCTACGGAGAGAATGTAAGGGATAGAAAGAGGGCTGCTGTCACTGTTCGTTTTGCTATTTTGCTGCCTGCTGCTTTGCCACCTTCTGACTTTGCCTGCTGTGAAGTATTTCTCCTCTGCCATGCCACCATGCCTTAGGGCTAGCCAGCTATGAACTAAAACCTCTACAAGCTGTAAGCTATAATAAATCTTTTCCCCCTTGATTTTAGATATCAGGTATTTTCTCTCAGCAATGAGAGAAAAGTAACTAAGGATTTCAAGAAAAAGAATAACTACTCACTGATATAATTCCCCTATGGATGAATAGCAGTGATTTATAGTCTAAGTAGACATCAGTCACCTTGGATGGAGGATCAAACCTCCTTAAGCCAACTCTCCAAGAAAATCCTTGTCTATCCCATGTGCTTGCTACATGACTTGTTTTCCCATTTGATTCCTACTTAATCATTATTAGCCTGGTGATCATACTTATTGGTTGACCATAGTTTTGTCCCACATCACAACCATCATATGATTTGCCATTAGATCGGTATTACCTAAGCAACTAGTAATCTTATTGGTTGATTCTAGTTCTGTCCCACATTAAGCTTGCCACATCTCGTGGCTTTGCTCAATAAAACACTCTTGAGAAGAGGGATTGGTGGGCAACCCACTTTCCAGCCCCTTTCTGTCCCTCTCAGACAGAAGCTTTTTTTCTCTTAATAAATTCTCCCTGCACTTGAAAGAAAGAAAGAAAGAAACTAAGAGAGAAAAGTAACTAAGACAGCAAGGGAAGACAGAGAAGTGGCTGCTTCTTGATGTCCCTTTTCATGTTCTCTGGAGAAAAAACCACTTCTGGACTAGGAGTCTGCCTAACGTTTCCGTGGCCATGGTGGGGGCTGTGGCTAGACAAGAGAGGACTGGCACTGTGGCACTGCTGGGGCCTGGACAGACCAAATGGTAGAAAGAGTGGTGGGGGTGATGGAGGGCATCCTTTTACCAAATTCACTCTGAATCCTCAAAGGAAATTCAGGACTGGATTCTAATCCCTGCTTCTGCTTGCTTGTAAGATCTCTCCTAGAAGTATTTCCTCTCAGGCTGCACCTCCAAGTGTTCCTGGCTCATGGGGGCACCCTTTTCATGCTTGCTGTACATTGATGAATGACTGAGGAGTAAGTGGCAGTTTCTTGGGAATCTTGAGCCTAACTCTTCCCTCCCTCCCTTCCTTCCTTTCTTTCTTTTATTGTCCTGACAGCACCCACATTTCCTCCAGAGGAGATCCTCTCAGTTGATCTCTTAATTTTTTCCAATCTAGATCCCTGGTTTATGGGCACCATTTCTGATGTAAAGGCCAATGCCCAGTGGCTGAAAGGTCGTGTGGACAACATCAGCATCCTGGGTTCTGAAATGAAGAAGGACAGCGGTGGTATGAAGGCAGTCAGCGTTCAGATCGAGACGGTGAACGCCAGCTTGGATAGTGTGCATTCTCAGATCCTGATACTGAAAACCAATGTGGAGAAGGCCAGTGCACAGATCGACAACTTAAGAAAAAAGTGGGAGGAAGCTGATCATTTAAACACCCAAATTCCAGAGTTAAAAAGAGATTTGGATAAAGCCAGTGCTTTAAATGGAATGGTCCGGACACTACAGAGCAGGTTGGACAATATCAACAAATCTCTCAGACAACAACGTAAGTGACTCAGTAAATGACATTGCAGGCTGATCGGTGGCCCCTGATCCCTTTCCATCTTATGCATGGGACCACTGGGCTAGTGGGTGAGGAGGGGAGGAGCAGGTATGAGCTAGAAAGTTAAGGAGTGAGGGCTTAGCACTGGGGTCAAGGAGGACTTAACAGATTTTAGCAGAGAAGACACTATGCTCCCACTTGGACCCCCACACCAAGGTACACAGCCTGAAAGATTTAGGGAATGGATCCTCTGTCCTGGCCCAAACCATATTTCCCATAATATTCCTCATTTCAAGCCCTGGGGCTCAGTCAACTGTCATAGCCAATGGAGAATCACTTTTCCTTCTCTCATGGGAAAGTCAGATTTGTGGTGAATCCCCTCCCACTGTCTCTTCTCCAATCCCTAGGCCTTGTTTATTAGTTTCAGTTAAACTTCCAGGATCCAAGAGAGGGTCCCTGAACCCCTCTACCAGACAGGACCCCAGAACCTCACAGCCCAGCCCCATTCACTGCTGCTCTGGGATTCCACTCAAGTACCCTGCCCAGGCCCTCGTCCTATAGAAACAGGACCTTGAATTCACCTTGAGCCCCCCCCCCCCGTTCTCCAGGTGACATCCTGCAGATGGTTTCCCAAGGCTGGGAATTCTTCAAGGACAACTTCTATTACTTTTCTCGAATCTCAAAGACCTGGTACAGTGCCGAGCAATTCTGTGTGTCTAGGGACTCACATCTGACTTCAGTTACCTCCCAGAATGAGCAGGTGAGCTCTGTTCCCATGTGGTGTGTGTGTGTGTGTGTGTGTGTGTGTGTGTGTGTGTGTGTGTGTTCTGTTAGCTGTTTTGGGGAAGCTGGGTGAGATTATGTAGTGGAAACAAAATCCCCAAATATAACAAGGGAAGATTATTTCTTGCTTATACTGCATATCTAACCAAGGCTGCTCATTGTGGGCGCTCAAGAACCTAAGCTGAAGTAGACTTATTCTTAATATGGGTCTGCAGTTGCTGGGGCAGGAAGTGGGAATGTGGCAAATGTGCATTTGCTCTTGAAGCTTCTCCCCAGAAATAACTGCATCAATTTTTCACGCATTTCAGTGGTGAGAGGAAATTATGCAGTATTCCTAGCTTTAAAGAGGAAATGGAGGGGTGCTCTTTCTATATGCTCAGAAAGCAAAGATATTTGTCAACAATATACTGCATGACTCAAAAAATTTTGTTCCTTTTGAGGCCAAATATTGACCAAATCCCTTCCATCTGTGAAGTGGGCAGAGCAGGGAAGAGAATGTGCTCAGGAGTAATCTAGAGTCCCAACCTGCCATCTAACTAGTCCTAGAACCTTGAGTAGACTACTTATCTCCAGTGGGCCTCAGCTTATGAATTGATGAAATATGGATGATAACAGTACCTGCCTCAGAAAAAAGGAAGAGATGCAAGAGCATGTCTTCCCCATGTGCCTTTCACTGGCTCTCATACTCCTCCACCTGCTTCTAAGGAATAGAAAGGCCTGAGCCGTGAGTTCGTTAGTTGCAGAGAAAACACAGATTGGAATTTGGGAGATGGACTCTGGGTTCTAGGTAAGGGCAGAGAGAGGCTTGAGAGAGGCCAGTGTGCAGTGTGTGCCCAGAGTTCAAGCGCTGTTGCTGAGCACAAATGAGGGATACCTTGGTGCTCAGACTTCAGGTTGTGGCCTGCACCCCTGCTCACACTGTGTTCCCTACAGGAGTTTCTGTACAAGACAGCAGGTGGACTGCCACACTGGATCGGCCTGACCAAGGCAGGGAGTGAAGGGGACTGGTACTGGGTGGATGATACTCCATTCAATAAGGACAGTGTAAGGTGAGGCCCAGCACCTTCCTTTCCAGCCTGGCTTTCTTGGGCCAGGGCCAGGGCACGGAGGGTTGGGGGTATTTCCCATGCACATCGGGTTAGTGATTTGTCCTTGTCCCAGGGACAGGAGGCGCCTTGGAATTGAGATGCTGGTCACCACTGCCCTGTGGGGTTTGACAGCAAGGCCATCTACCCAACTTGGGCAGGGACTTGGGTGAAAGTCTAAGTTTTTGAAGAGTGGGTTTGTGGGCTTGAGAGTGGCAAGGTGGTATGACTTGCACTCAGAGCATGATGAGAGGCTTCACGGTTGAAATATCCCCAGTCCTCTTCCTCTTCGGCGTGGGCTCTTGCTGTATTTTCACCTAAGTCAAAAACTGGGGTTGAAGTAACTTATTTTCTTACTGGAAATGAATTCTTTGTTTTCCAATTTTGTAAATACACTTTTATTTGGTTTTTCACTCTGTAGGTTCTGGCTACCAGGTGAGCCCAACAATGTGGGGAACAGTGAACACTGTGCCAATATAAAGGTGTCCTCGCTCCGGTCCTGGAATGATGATTCCTGTGACATTAAGTTATTTTTCATCTGTAAGCGGCCCTACATTCAATCTGAACCATGATGGCTTGTCCTCAGGTTTACCCTGTAAGCTCCAGTGCTGGTTAAACTTGAGGAAATGTCCTCAGTGTCCTTCTTCGCACTCTAGAATGACTTTGTACCTTAATTTTGCTTGCTTCAAAATTGTCCTCAAATGTGCGTTGGAGGTCATCTACTTTGGAAATTCTTTGACCCTATAGGTCTGCTGGAATGGGAAGAAGAACTTGGGTTAAATGGAAGAGGAAAGAGGAGATGATTTAGAAGTTCCTCCTGTGTTGGTGAGGTAGATCAGCACCCCAAAATCTGTGCTATTACCTTGAGCTGTCCCATACCTTTAGAGAAGTCTCATTTGTATCACAGAAAAGTTACAGGAAGAAATGATCACATTTGAGGAAATGGACTGAAACTTCATATCATGTATATATGTATTGAAACACATGGATAAACATGCATAATTTTTATGTTCTTATGCATCAGTTAAAAATAAATTTTAAAAAGAACAACTTGTGAAAAAAGTTGCTTCATAGCAATCCAGCAAGTCTCCTGATAGTGTGACTTAGCTCTTTTCCTGGTCGATTACCCAGAATTCCCACTTGCCTGCTTAGGGGTGCTACCAGCACCCCTAAGATGGCCGTGTGTGCAGTGGGCATAGCTCTTCCCTTTGCCGTTCTGTTCACACCACATTCCCACTGCTCTCTCGAGCCTTGTCCTCTAAAGCCTGAAGCCCTCTTCCCTGGGGAAAGCTAAGCTGGCTCAGGTCAGGAGTTTTTTTGAATTGTGCCAACACCCTCCATCCCTTCTCATTCCCCCTCACGTTCCTCCTTGGAAAGGCAGATGCCCAGCCCTGCCTTCTGACGTCATCATGATCTGGTCAGCCTCGTGTCCGACTGGTCTGCCCCCACGTCCTCTGCACGCCCCCTCTCCAGGGTTTCCTCTCCTTCTGTGCCTTGTGCAGGGGAGTACGCGTTGAGTACCAAAAAGAGTTCTTTCAAGCCTTCTTTAGGAGAAAATGCTGCATGGGTCAAGGCCTCCCTCGGTGAGCACTTTGTCACTGCTGGTTACTTTGGTGCATGTGTGGAACTGACTGTCTGCTTCACTGGACGTGAAATCCTCAGTACCCTCAGGATACAGTTGGAGGGTCAAAAACAAAGACTAGGAATATTCTTGCCTAGAAATTTCAAAATATGAACAGTACTTATTTCTAGTTTTAATGGAAATTAAGGAGAACAAGGTCTACAGTGCCACAGTGATCTCTCTTTTCTGGTGTCGCTGGACAGTCTTCTGTTTCCTAGCTTTGTTCCCAAGGAGGAAGTGTATCAGTTCCTCCTTCATAGAGATCTTATTCACAGGACCCAGGTCCACATCCTGAGGAGCAAGGAATGCAGGATTAAGGTCACCCCGGACAGGGAGTTAGTAGAGAGAAAGCTGGAGCGACCGCAGGGTGAGCACTGGGGTGGGCTCAGCAAAGATGCTTTGTTAGGGTGCCTGCTAGGGCTCTGGGGAAAGGACATTTCACTCAGATGAGTGTGGCAAAGGGATCAGAGCCGAGAGTGTATGTTTAAGTGGCATCTTTGAGCCGGACAGAGCCCCACTTAACCTCAAGCTCCTCTGCTGTCCTCACCCAGCTGAAAGGTTCCAGCCTGGCTGATTTCCACCATCTCTAGATCAGCTGTGTTCCACTCAGTATTCAACTTAATGGCTTTCAGTTCACTGCTAGCCTGGGAAGCTATTCAACAAATCAGTCACATCCTGCTGCAGGAATGGTGTGTGTACGTGGGGTGGGGGACCTACTTCCCTTGTTATTATGATTCTGACTGCACACAGCCCTTGCTGGTTTGCTCTGCTCCCAAGGGTAACTCCTTGGGGCTCTGCATGGCACATGGTCCTTCCTTCCCAGACTGATGTGTGTGTGACTGGTAAACTGCTGTTAATCTCATCTGTCCACTGTCATGTGTTTCCCCCATCTGGTACTATTTAGAGTAGAGAATTGCTCCTTCATCAAAGGTGAATAGGAGGTGTTATGGATTAAAAACTGGTGGTCAGTTAATGCCAGTGGAATTAAATCACCATGGTACTGAGCATAGATGTTCCACCTGAAGAAAGTTGCCAGCATAAATAGAGACGTGGAGAAGGAGAGGGGAGGCGTTGTGGGTTTCACTAAGTGTTGGTGAACTGTTGAGCTTTTGGTCCCCTGGAGGAGCTCTGGTCCTCACATTGAGCATTGCTTCCTGGCTCCAGAGGGGAAGATGCGTGCCACTTAACCTCTGGGACAAATTCAACATGCCTAGCTTCCTGGCACATACTCAACTATGCTTATTGTCAGAGGAGTTTGGAGCTTCTGTGTCATTGAGGATATCTGTGGTGATTTTCAGGACAGCCCTGGTCTTTGTTTTGAGCGTGACTCATAGAACTTTCAACCTACCAGCACAGCTCCTTCACCTAGCTGGTACAGACTTCCTAGCTTCCACCTCTGACCTTTGGGCATTCCCTGCATGGATCTGTAAGAGAGACTGGCTTGAGTCCTTCTTGTAGGCTCTAGACCTCCAGTTGGACTTGTGGGAGGCATTGTCATGAGCTTTAGGTCTTCATTTGGATTCATGCAGGACATTGTTGTGGGATTCAGGCCCTTGGCTGAATATTCTATGTCTTTGGTGTTGTGGACAGATTTCCTGCAGCTTCTTGTGTTAACTTTGGGTGGCCATCATAAAATAATATTATAAACTCCATGTCCTGATTCTAATTGTTCTCTGCTCAACCCCTGACTACAGCAGGAGGTGACTGGAACCTGGTGGCAGGGCCTATGGTTCATCCTGGTGGGAAGCAATGAGCTGGGGAAAATCACACCACATGTTTGGAAAGAAGTTGAACCAGGATATTTGCAGGGGAAGAGACAAGTAATGGAGGGAAGTTGGATCGAAGCACTTGGAATTAGAGAAAGGCCAAGTGCCATCATTTGGCACCTGCAGAAGTAGAGAAAAGAGGCGAGGTAGAGAAGGAAATGTCAGAGCAGAAAGCGGACAGGACCACAGATCTCCAGTGCAGCTCCAGCTCTGGCTGCTGAGCTGCCCATGCTGCTTTGCCTTAGATCCTTTGTCTCTCCTAGTCTTCTGGTTCCTGTGTACATGGCTTCTATGATGAGACTTCCTTCTCCCCACTCCCACTCATTATTTTTCCTTGAAACTGAAAAAGCCTGAGTCAGTGAGGATGTGTTTTCATCTGTAGCTTACACCCCATCCTGTGACCTGCATGCATAGCATTGTGCTGGCTTCCTCCTTCCTGGAAGTTGGGACAGCTACTGCTACGCACTGTCCTGTAACCATAGATCCTGCTTTCCTACCTGCAGGGCTCGCTTCCCCTCTTTTCCAACAAAAACTCAGGATTGGATTGCATGCCCATCCCTGAAGCAGCAAGCAAGTTTGGGGAGATGGATTATGTGTATCAGGTTGCCAGCTCATCGCTTGGTCTGGGGTGGGAGATGGGTTCAATCTTGTCCATATCAGATGCACTGAGAAAGAGGGAAGTATGGTTCTCAAGATACACCCTGGCATGATGCCTAAAGAAGGGAGCCCTGTGAGCCCTCTGTTGCCAGAGCCCCTGTTTGCAGCCTTGTTTGGGCCTTTACTTGTAACCCAGTTGTTAAGTCTAGCCATTCCTTGAATAACTCATCAACCTGTGGTGTTTAGGGGTTGGTAAGATGACTAAAGCACTTTCCAGATGTCTTCAGTTACTGGTCTATAGTTGCTAAACTCGGGAATCTCCAGAAGTATATACCTTGCTCAGCCTTTGAGTGGGGGCAGGAGAAACAAACATGTGAGTGACCCTACCTCTGGAGTGTTCTATAAAATCCTATTTGTCTTTCTTTGGCCAGGGAGCCAGAAACCTCTCAGCAAGGCTACAGTAACCTGAATTTTGTCCCAAGGGGGGCAGATGGTATTCTTGTGGGGAATATACTGAGCTGGGACTCTGAGGTGGGCTGGAGGTGGCAGGACGGGGTGGAGGAAGGCAGGGTGAGACTTCCTACTAATCATAGTTGGAGGACTTTGACCTTCTCTGGCCTAGACTCTGCTGTTTGCTGAGCAAGGAATCCCTAGAGTTCTGCTTTCAAGGCTTCTTGGAGAAAATAGCTCCTAAGCAGATCGAGTCTGACTCTTCGTTTGTTTGGGGAAACAGAAACCAAGATGAACCCTTTCCTATCGGCGCTGTGCCTGGAGAGGAAACTCTGGTGGCTCCCATCCCCTGCAGAGAAGGGACTTGGTAGATGCTGCTCAGCCTCTGCTGATGCTGTGATGGCTACAGAAATGGATGCTGCATGGCACTTTGATGCCTTTCCTCCCATCAGATTAGCTCTCAACAGATGAGAGGTCAGACATAAAAGATGGGGACTTTGTACTCTATATGCCAAGCCTTCCACTACATACTCACACTCACACTTATCTCACAGGGTCCCCATCATGAGTTGGGTAAAGGCAGCCACTCTGCAGGTCAGGTGCTCATGGATTAGCTGCTTCCTGAGTTGACAGTGGCATCCATGACACAGGCTCCTCCTAGACTCATTGCTGCAATCCTGGTCCCTTTCTGTGTGGCTTCCCCAGCACTGAACTGTACAGCATTTTTAATCAATGCCTGGAAACCTATGGGAGGCTGACCCCAGGATTTGTGAAAAAGATACAGGGAAGGAACATGGGAATCGAGCATGAAGACAGAAAAACAAGGATGCAATATGAGCAGAATAAGCCATTTACAAGTCTGTGATTGACAGCTTGTGAGAGTGAATGTGATGGAGACTGGCATTGTAATTATACCTTAATGAGTTAAATATAATGTGATCTATGTCAGTAGGATTATAATCATCTGAAAATAATGAGGGAAAGAGAGAATCAAAGAGCAAGAAACTGTCAGTGTTATGGCTTGTGTTTAGAGGTCCCCCTCAAAGCCTCATGTGGTGGATCTAGGGTGTGTGATCCTGGGATTAAGGGTGTTGATTACCAAATTAGTCCACTGATTGGTTTGATGCAGTTCTGAGTGTGGATAATAAGAAGGCCCAGCCTGGGTGTGAGTGCTCACTGCTCCAAGGGCATGTAGCCTGGATATAGTATAAGGGACAGAAAGAAAGTAGCTGTGACTGGTGCTTTGCTCTCTTCTGCCCACCATGAACAGTTTCTCCTCTGCGATGCCTCTCTGCCGTGCTTCTCTGCCTTGGAGTCAGTCATGAACTGAAATCTCTACAAACTGTGAGATACAACAAACCTTTCCTCCTTTAACTTTTGGTGTCAGGTATTTTGTCCCAGCAATGAGAAAAAATTAACTAAAACAGTCCGTATCCCCAGAACCAACGTTGATAGAGAGGCCTTGAGCAGCCAGTGGTAATGCTGGTTCTGTTACCTCCTTAGTAGGCACGGGCCATCAGAGTTTCAAGCTCCTGGCACTGTCACCCGTGATCCTCACTTCCCTTCCTTTTAGTTTTAGGGTCATCAAGTAACAGAAGCCACCTGAAGCAGTATTTTTTTTCCCCTCTTGGCAGGAGGTTATAATTCCCATTGAAAAGCAGAATGTTGGCCCTCATCTCATCCACCAGTTCCTCCTGAGTTAGTTCTGAGAATCTGGTCTTCTCATGGAATAGATACAATCTACAAAAAGTGAGGTCTTGGATTCAGGCAGGCCCTGCTTGGTAGCTTCTGACAGGATTTCGGTCTGGTACCAAGTATTTGTTTTTCTGAATCCCAGCCAGCTTCTGGCACCAGCTGGACCTCTAGCAGTTTGAATAGATTCTGACCCTAACTCCCTGAGTTTCAGATCCCACAGGTTAAGGTGTGATCCACAAGAGGGGTCGCTAGGTGACCCATACTTCTGACTGACTATAAAACTGAAGGTTCCTCTGACATCTCCTCAATTTTGATCATTCATTTGATCAAGTCAGAGCATTGGGAAAACTCTAAACTTAATGTTAGAGTTTATGGTAAAGATGTTGTCAATCAGGGGACCTAAGGTGAAGATCAGAGAGTCCTGAGCACAGGACCTCTGTGCAGTCAGGGTGGACATGTTCAACAACCAGAAGGCTCCTGGAATCTCACCATTCAAGAGAATTTATAACCTGGTCTGCAGCCCCTCTCTCCAACCTGGGCCCTGAGAGTTGGGAGTAGAGGTGGATGACAGAAGGTTTCACCCTTTATCCACATTTGGTCTTTCTGAGGCCAGCTGCCATCTTGAAACTATCTAGGGCTCCTGAGTCATTGCATTAACACAGACCCAGCAGTAGTGGAAAGGGGCTCATTATGGATAGTAAGAGGCACATCTATCACCTAGGAAAGGGAGGGATTTAGGAACAAAGACCAGCTTTAGGGGGAGGGGGTTTGAGCCCAAGGGAGTCCTACTGAGCTGTATCACCAATCTTTAATGCTTTTATTTTCAATATTAAAAATCAGTATTTTTAATATTAAAACAACACTAACTTAAAAAAAGGCCAGAAATAAATTCAAGGTATAATCTACAGGAAAGCCCATCCTGATCCCCCAACATGCATATATCACAGCCCAGCTGAGATGCCCAGCAGGGCTCCCCGTCATATACACATAGGCTGAGGGCTGGCTCAGTGGCAAGTACCAAAATAGTTTTAGAAACGACTGTCCAGCTCAGCATTGATACAGGGTTCAACTTGTGACCTTCCTGCCTCAGCCTCCCAGAGCACTGGGATTATAGATGTATATAACTATGGCCAGCCCAAATATTTTTTAAAACCATCTCAGGGCTGAGGATATAGCTAAGTGGCAGACTGCCTTCCAAGATGCATGAGGTTCTGAAACTGATCTGCAAACCAAACTGCAAAACCATAAGAACACAACAACCACAAACAACCTCTACCTCAAGTGCTGCCTAGTAACTCTGTTGTAAGATACTGAGTGGACAGTGAGTCCTCCCGTCCTTGCGTTGGTCTCCTTCGCTGACTCTGCAATCCTCCATGTGCTCCAGTGCTCCATGACTTGAGCACTTAAGAGATACTGGGGCTAGGATTAAGAGTCAGCTGCAGTTACAAATATGTTTTCTCTGCAAAACTGTGGATCTCTTCTCCCTCAGGCTTGGTGTCTCGTCTTAGCACCCAGAGAACAAGTGAATTTGTAACTTTGGGGGCAGAGAGTAGCATTTGAGGTAAAGAGGGAAGAAGCACCAATGCCGAGTAAGAGGACGGGGCCCTAGACTGATGGGCTCCCTGGGAGCCCAAGGGGAAGGGCTGTGCTGGGCTGGATTTCTGCAGAGTCAGTAGGGAGAGAGGCAGTGCTCTGAGGGTGGTCATGACCTTCACAGCAGAATATAAATCCAGGGTTTTATCAGTTTCACTCTCACTGCTGCTGGCTTGCAGGACAGCCCTTCCAGAGTAACCGGGTGAAGGACTCAGAGATGGATGGTGGCACAGTCCACTTCTGCACAGATGAGGAGTGTGTCTCCCTGCACTCCCAAGGTGAGAAAAGTCAGGGTGTAGCCTGCTTGTCTCCTAACCCTCTGCACTCCTCTGTGATAGGCTGGAGCTCGGCTCATCACTGTCTTGGCCTTGGGTGGGAAGAGGACCAGGCAGAAGATAGGAATGCTTGGCACAGCCTACTCTTTTTTTTTTTTTTTTTTTTTGTCTTTTTCCTTTTTATCGGTACCAGGGATCGAACTCACAACTGCCTGCTTGCAAGGCAGGCGCTTATGCCGCTGAGCTAAACCCCCATCCCCGCACAGCCTACTCTTTGCATGAAATCTCTCCAGACCGCATGCACTGTTGGTAACCTGGCTGGAGAAAGGAAGTGCATTTTCAATTCAGATGGACCTGGTTTTGAACTTTAGCTCTGTCCATGAGCTGGCCCTGTGAGGCCTCTGGTAATCTGAGCTGTCTCTTTCTAACCTGAGTGGGTTTTCCTGGGTGCCTTTTGTTCTTCACCACAGTTACTAGACCCTTTCAGGACATCCTCAGTGACATTCTGATCCCAGCTGGGGAGGCTCCGGGACACAGTATGTGGTGAGATAGCAGAGTGGCACCAAAGAGCTGTGATTTTCTCTGGGACTCTGAGGTCTGGACTCTTGCTCTGTCCCTCTCTTATTTTTCTCCCTTTTCTCTGTAATTCAAACCACACTTTTGTTGTCTTACCCTCTATGCTCTGTGTGCCGTTCCCCTGCCCCAACCTCATTAGGATTCTGACAGCCCGGTTGGTCGAGGCAGCATTCCTGCCTTTTCATTGCTACCAGGCCCGACAGTGACCTCCATGAATGCTTTAGAGTGTTTCCTCTTCCTTCTCTACATCCCTGTGGGTGACAGTGTGGCAGGTATTCTTATCATTCCTGGACAGGCCAGGAACTGGTCAGAGAGCCTGGCTCTGTCCCAGACCACATTGGTCCCTCTCATCCTGGACCCTGGCTTCTTCCCTGCAGGAATGGACCCCGTGACAGTGGCTCCTATTGTTCCCAAGATGCGCAAGCTTACTCAGTCTGCCATAATAGTCATAGCTGTGTCTGTGGTTTCCTTTCTTGTGGCTGTCTTTGTTGTGGGTAAGTTCCCAGGTGATGAAAACCCCTTCCCGCACAGAGGCCTCCAAAGGACCCAGATACATATTCTCTGGGCCTGTCTGCTCCCAGAATGGCCATCCCCGCTGTGATCCCAGGCCAAGACCACAGCTATCCTAGGAGCAGACAGAGAAGTCTGCAGCGGGGAGCCTCATAAGAACTAGAGCTCATGAGGGGAAGCTCTGAGGGTGCCCTTGGTGCATCTCTGTCTTTCTGGAACCCTAACCCTTGGGGGAAGCCTGTTCTCTCAGCCTCAGGGTTGAGGATGGTGCTCATCTAGGAATGGGTTATCTCAGCTCTACAGTTCCGGAACCGTACACTGGAGGAGCCTGTTTCTTTCCAAGATGTTCAAGCCATGTTTCTGGGAGACAACACTACTGAACAGTTCTCTGAGGAACCCAATCGTGAGTAACCACAGTAGGACGGGGAGGGAGCTGGGGCATCCAGGAGCCCAAATTCTGGGACCAGCTTCTTTTCCAACACTTTTAGGTCCCTGAATGTGTTCTGTCCTTCTTAGGGAAAACCAATCTTTTATTAAAAAAACACACACAGCTTTATGGAAGCATAATAGGCATATGGTACAGTGCATGTAGTTAAAGCACATAGAGTGTTATGTTTTGATGCTGTGTATGTGTTATGAAACCATCATCACAATCAAGGCAATGGAGAGATTCATCATGTAGCCCTAGAGCTTGCTTGTGGCTCTCCCCTTCTCCTTCACTCTGCTTACTGTAACTACAGATTATAGTGTATTATTAATTTTTTGGTCTCTTTGATCCTTCTTTGCATCTTCTGTAGATTGTACAGTTTTTGGTTTTTATTTAGGAATTTTTTTCATAATTGTATGAGGATTGAAGTCCTATTTCCCCCCATAAAGATATCTAATTGTTTCAGTAGAATTTAAGAGATTATCATTTTTCTAGGAATTGCCTTTGCATCTTTGCTTACTTGTCCATATTTCTGTGGGTGAGTCTGACTAGCTTCCCGTGCATCCCAAGGCCTGGTCTTGCATCAGCGCAGTGGCTGACGCCTTGCATGCCCAGGAGGAGCCTGAGGAATAATGCACTGATACTCCAGAAAGGCTTCTTGACCACTTGGGTTCTCCTCCGTGTTCCTGTTGGGGAGAATAGACTCAAGAATAACCATAAATATTCAAAACTGGGTCCCACTTCATGAAGGGAGCCTGGGATGTTAGCAGGACTAGAGACAGAGGCAGGCAGGCTGCTGGGAAAGGCTACAGAAGGAAGGTGGCCCGAGTGGCCTGAGTGGCTTCAATGACCAAGGCCTTTCATCCAGGTCTCACATATCCCCAAACTGTTTCGTGGGGCCCCTGCCCTATTTAACATAGGAGTGTCAGTCCTTTGAAAGACACTGTATCCAGTGTCCTCTTGAGGGTGTGGCATGGCCTTGGGGACTGAACAGTGGGCTTGCTCCTGGGGATACCTGCTCCCCTCCCTGCTATAGAATTTGTGACCAGAAAATTTAGGTTTGTACTTTACACAGTGTTTAGGATGAAATAGAGGTGAATCAAATAACTTCATGCCTGGTGTACAAACATACTGTAAAAGTAAACATGGCCTTTATTCTTATCTATTTTTTCATAATGACCAATCTATTATGAAATTTCTATGAATTAAATTTCCAAATAATGAAATTGGTTACTTTCAAGTTGAACAATTACAAGAGAAGTAATCCAAACTTCCCACATGGCTCTTGGTGGCTGGTTTACCCCTCTATTCGTGGATGACAGAGAGGTCTTCAGTTATTTTTATTTTTATTTTTTTTGGCCCACATTCTCAGGTGGCTCATCCCCAGGTCTTGGTGATATCAGTGACTATCAGGCTGCCCGAGGGGTAGCAGGGCTGTGGTGCGGACATTTCCCTCAGGATTTTAAGAGCATCTTGATTGGCTTGTATGATCTTCTCTACATAGTGGGCCTTCTCTGTTTTCTCCCTTCAGATGACTCCTATTTTGGGAGGCTACAAGAGTTGCAAGAGGCTATCCAGATCTGTAAAAGCCACATGGACAGTTCCAGCACCTGGCATGTGGAGATGCAGATGTTGAAGCGCAGAGTGGACAATGTCAGTTCTCAGATCCAGGGCCTTGAGGGTTCTCTGGGAGACACCAGTGCTGACATTGAGATGGTAAAAGGTGCTCTCCAGGAAGCTAGTGCCTTGGGTCTGCAGACTCAGATGCTAGGAGGTTCCTTGGAGGGAGCTAATGCTGAGATCCAGAAGCTGAAGGGAGATCTGGAAAAGGCAAATGCTTTAACCTTTGAGACCCAGGATTTCTTAAAAAGCACCTCAAAAAACACCAGTGTTGAGCTCCACATGCTAAGCAGAGGTTTGGAAAGTGCGAACACTGAGATTCAAATGTTGAAGACGCGTTTGGAAATGTCAAATATCCAGGCCAGTTTGGCAAATAGTAGTTTAAAGAATGCAAATTCTGAGATATATGCTTTGAAAGCTCACCTGGATAGTGTCAATGACTTAAAGACCCAGAACCAGGTTTTAAGAAGTGGTCTGGAAGAAGCCCAGGCTGAAATCCAGAAGCTAAAAGAAAGTTTGCAAAATGAAAATGCTCTGAATGCCCAGACTCAGACCCTTCTCAAAGGTAGTTTAGACAACACTGGTGCTGAGATCCTGGCACTGAGAGGCCATTTGGAAAGGACCAATAACGAGACGCACCTGTTGAAAAGAGAGTTGGAAACCATCACGGCCCAGACCCAGCTAGCAAAAGGCCATCTAGAGCAGACAGATGCTCAGCTTCAGGTGTTAAAAGTAGGACTAGAAAATGCCAATACCTTAAACTCCCAGATTCACGTGTTAAGTGGTCAGTTGGAAATTGCCAGCAGACAGATACAGACACTGAAACAAGGAATGAAAGATACTGCAGCCTTAAGTTCTCAGCTGCGGACATTAGGGAGCAATCTGCAGGATGCCAGTGCTGAGATGCGGAGATTAAAAGGGGATTTAGAGAACATCAAAACTCTAACTGCGAAAATCCAGGAGGAGCAGAGTCGCCTGGGGACCCTCCGTGCAGCCATTGCTTCTCAGGAGCAGCTACAAAAGACACAAAGTAAGTGGGAGAGGAGGGGGTCCCTGGGGAGGCACAGCCTCTTGAGAAGGTCGAGACTTTTGTCCCTGCAACCTGTTCACTTAGCTCAGCACGCATCTGCCTGGGGAGGAGCGTGGGTGCTGGAGACAGGACCAAGTCCTGGGAATGGTGGAGGTGGCATGAGGTGTATTTCCCTGTCTCAAAGTATTTACAATCTGATTAGAGTAACATAATGAACACCTGGGAAATCAATTATATATGGGGAAGCTATGAAACAAGGACAGTTTATGCTAGTGGGGTCAGACAACATTTTTTTTTTTACTTCCTGCTATCAGAAGTGGTGTAGCCTTATCTACAGCGTGCCACCCTGAACATACCCAAGATGAGCTGTTCTCAGAAGTTAAGCAGGGATGAGCCTCGTTATGCTTCGATGGGAGAATTGATGTGGTCTTGAGCAACTTATTCACCTCCTCTGAGCTGTATTTTTCTCATCAGTATTTGCTTGCCAGTGAAGATGAAATGAGTTAACAGATATAAGCCAATTTTAAAAAGTACCCAGAATTCAAGCTCTCCTCTGACATTTTACTGAGGCCCTGGTATGTGTCTGGGATATAAAGATGAACAGGCTATATTACCTACCTTGCTAAGTTTTCAGGCAGGGGGCAGACTTGAATAAAAGACATGAAGACAAGTAGAAGAGGTGAGAAGTGAGAAGCAGGTGCTAGGAATTGAGGTGAGGGAGGAAGAAGGAAGGAAGGAAGAAGGAATCTTCTGAGAGGCATAAGTGGGGGAGATCTTTTGTGGGGAAGGATCAGACGATGCTTGTTGAGAAGACGGCCTTTGAACCGAGTCCATAAGGACCACTAGGTGTTTGCCAAACAAATAGGGCAAGACAATAGTGAGTTCAATGGGCGTGGAAACATGCAACTGAGGTTTGGAGGCTTCAGGAAGTATGACTGGCCTGAAGGAGTCATGAGGACAGTAGACAGGGCCAAGAGCAGTGGCTTTCACATTGCCCTGAATATAACCATAGCATGAAAGTTCATTTTACATCGTGGTTCAGTATAAATATATACAACTGCATATGCACACATGCACTCAGAAAACAAAACTTTTACTGCATCAATGCATCCTGATATTATAATCTGTCCTCTATTTAAAAGCTTGTCCAACTCACTAATGGTTTATTTAATATGGTTTGAAAACACTGCGCTAGAGGGTTAGACGGCCTGGGGAGACAGGGTGGACAGGGAGGGGCTCTGAGCTTGGCTCTCTTCCCCCAGGGATTGAGGAGCTACTGAAGGGCTGCAAGGAGGGGGCTCACTACCTGGGGTCCCGGCTGAGATAGGGAGCCAAGGGGAGTGGGAGCACTCAGTTCAAGGTTTGTCATGCTGAGTCTGGGATGCTTTGGGGAGATGCAAGGATGTCATCATGGGCTGTCTGGAATTTAGGAGAAGACTAGGTGGCAGCCATAGGTTTGGGGGTCTTGCATATGTTGGTTCTGGTGGTAGCAATAATCAGGGAATTTGCATGGAGCAAAATACAGTGTGAGAAGGGGGCTGCAGGTGAGAACGTGAAGTCAGTCTTCAGGGGCAAGATGGGAAGAGGTGGGTTTTTTTTGCCTGGGATTGAACTCATGACCTTGCTCTTGCCAGGCAGGGACTTACACCACTGAGCTAAATCCCTAGTGGGAAGAGTGTTTTTGAAGACCAAAATATGAAATATAGACCATGTGGCAAATATTGAACAATAAAAGATGAGAAAATAGCAACTGTGTTCCCAAGAAAAATCCTGCACTTTCCATTTAACCCACTGCTAATGTTTTGGTGAACTTCCCTGGGAGGGCTTTTATGGATTCTGATAGGCTTGATATAAGGGGGAAAGGAAGCAGCAATGAGGAAGGAGACTGGAGAGAGGAGGGAGAGAGAAAAGGAGAAGGAGAAGGAGAAGGAGAAGGAGAAGGAGAAGAAGAAGAAGGAGAAGGAGGAGAAGGAGAAGAAAGAGGAAGAGGAGGAGGAGGAGAAGGAGGAGAAGGAGAAGGAGAAGAAAGAGAAGGAGAAGGAGAAGGAGAAGAAGAAGGAGGAGAAGGAGAAGGAGAAGAAAGAGGAGGAGGAGGAGGAGGAGGAGGAGGAGGAGGAGAAGGAGTTGGAGAAAGAGGAGGATGAAATCCACAGTACAGTGCTTTTTTGTTTGTTTTTGTTTTTAGAGACAGGGTCTTGCTATATAGTGCAGGCTGGTCCTGAACTCGCTTAGGTAGCCCAGGCTGACTTTGAACTCATGGTGATACTTGTGCCTCAACCTCCCGAATGCTGGGATTGCAGGAGTGTACCACCACACCTAGCTAAGCGATTGGTCTTGAAGAGAAATCTGAGGTCAAATTTGGCCTGGATGGAGTGGGAGACGATTTGGACAGAGTGGTCCACCGCACTGTGAAGATATGGGAACGGGAACAGAGGGGTTGGCATTAGTAGAGCTTCTTTTAGGACAGAGCAGGAGGCAACTTGGCTAATGGTTGGGAGGACACTGGGTTGGGAGAGAAGACATGGCTGGAACAGATACTAAAGAGATGAGACTGAAGAGTCTTGGGGGGCAGCCTCCAGCTTTCTTCTGCTGCTCTGCCTTGTGTGTGGTATGTGGGGGGGCCCGGAAGGCTCCCTTTCTCCATGCCTCTCCAGTGCTCTGAGGTCGTCTTCCACCCTCCTCTGCCTTTTGACTGGTATGGCAGAGCTAGGGGCTGTCCCACCTTTTTGGGGAATCACCCAGAGCTTAAGTTCCAGCTCTGACTTGGAGAGTGGGAGTAGGGGTCTGAGATACAGCCTGGGCACCAGGATTTTTTTAAAGCTCCCTAGGTGCTTCTAATAGCTAAGGCTTAGACACATTCATTTTACTTTTTCTTAAAGGGTCAAATAAATATTTTAGGCTTCTGAGCTATGACATCTGTGCACGGCAGTTTGCCAATCTTTGTGGAACTTGGAGAGCATCAAACTCTTCTGGAGGGCTTTTAAGAGTGCAGATTTTGTTTTGTTTTGTTTTTTGAGGCAAGATCTTGCTATGTAGTTCAGGCTGGCCTTGGACTCACTATGTGGCCCAGGCGGGCCTCCAACTCACAGTGACCCTCCTGCCTTAGCCTCTCAAGTGCCGGGATTACAGGCATTCACCACCATGACCTGCAAGGACCACAGATTGTTAAAACCCAATGTCAGATTGAGCAGGGCTGGCATGGGTCTGAGAATGTGTACCTCAGTCAGGATCTCAGACAATGCCGATGCGGCCAGTCTGGGAGCACACTTTGGGAACTCCGGTCTATATACTACTGTCTCTTACTGACACATTTGCCTTTGTGTTGTAATTGATGTTCTACCTAATTAGAAGTCCCTTCTTTAATTCAGTTGCCACGAGGCCTGCAATTTTTATGGCAAAGTCTAAGTTTATAATCTTAAAACCTCTTTGTGCTTTCTATTGCCTATGGGGGAGAATAGCCGAACTATTCACATGGAGTGTGTGATTTAGTGCTGGTGAACTTGTTTATTTTTATCTCCAGTCTTTAAGCAATGATCATACGTCGTCTGCCCACTTCCTTGGTAGTTTGCACTGTGCCATCATGTCATTGCTGTGTTGATGCTTACTGTTTCTCCTGCCTGGAGTGCTCCCCTGGGCACTGATTTCCTGGAAAACTCTTCCTCAGTCTTTTAAGACTCAGGCTAAGTGACATCTCCTTGAGGATGCACTTTCCGAGCCCCACCTACCTCCCAGAGGAAACAGACCATACTCTTTTTCATGCCTCTAGTGGAATGGTTTTAATCAAGGCATCTTTAACAACTTTTCTCCATCTGTGTCATCTGCTAGACCCTAAGTTCCTTAAGTTCCATGTCTTATTGATCTTTGTATAACAGCTCCTGACTCATACAACAGTAAGAATTGTTGAACCTAGAGCACGAAAACAAGTGGACAAGTACCTGATCCAGGAAGCTGCATTTCACATGGCTGTGGTGCAGAGGATGCTAAAGAGCAGGGTGTGGGTGGTGTGTTGGGGGTAACGGTGAGAGAGCTGAGCTCACAGGACCAGTTTAGCAGTCTGGAGACTGTGAAGTCAGGCAGACCAGGATGGCCATGGGGCTGGGCACCTGAGGTGGAGGGAGAGGAAGGTGGGAAAAGAGAGAGGTTGTGATGCGGCTTCTCTCAAAGATCACAGCAATGGAGGTGGGAGGAGAGGAGGAGAGTAGCGACTGCAGTGGGTTGGGAGAAAGGACCGTACAACAGGAAAAGGTGGACAAAGATGGTACAGTGTGGAAATAGCGCTGACTGGTAGCAGAGTGAGTCTCCGAGGAGAGCCTGGGATGGGTGGGTGTCTCAGGGCTGTTCCCAGCGGTCAGGTAGTGGGAGGGTGGTGCAGGCTCCCAGGCCCTGCTCCTGCAGCACTGAGCTGCCTGAGTTTATCAACCTCCGTGATCAGCCCTGGGACAGGTCAGAAAGGCCAGCTTGGGGACACCTGCTATCAGCTTTTGTTCTTCCCTCCCCAATTTTTCTTCCAGATCAACTTCTTCAGCTGATCCTGAAAGGCTGGAAGGTCTTTGGGGAAAACATGTATTACTTTTCTCAGGCTAAGAAGACTTGGTATGAAGCTGAGAAGTTCTGTGTGTCCCAGGGAGCCCACCTGACATCGGTCACCTCTCAGGAGGAGCAGGTCAGAACTGCAGGTGTGGGTTGGCACTGATGGAGTTTGTCGATGGTAAGGGACTTGGGTGCTTTGATCCTTCCCCACTTGGTGGGTGCGGCAGAGAACTTCCTGTTTCTTTTGTCAGGCAGGGAGCAAATATTCTTCAGGTTCCAGTGAGCACCTTGATCTGCAGGTAGAAGCACTGACAGTTCCACTAACCACCGACATTCTCAGTGAATACCCAAGGACCGAAGGGAGGAAGGCAAAGGGAGGTGACACCTGGTGACAGCTCTTACATGTTAAAGATCTTAAATGTCCACATGCTTCTGATTTCTGTCAAGCCATGATTTTAATGTCACCTAACAAGATGGCTGTAGAGGGCTTAGGATTAGCAGGCCTCAGCTCAGTCCCCTGCAGACCAGACATACACCTAGGATTCTGAGGCCCCTCAAAGGCAATACGGTCCCAGGAAGCCCACATGCCAAAGTCCTTATCAGAACTTACCAGGTTATTCACAAAAGACCACAAAATGTTTGGTTCAGCTTCACTTACAGAGCTGCCTCTCCTTGGGCTCATCTGCAACTGTTGTTACAGAGCTGTGGAAGTGCGCACCCTTTTGTGAAATATATCTTAATAAGTTGCGGTCAGGACTAGCTTTGTCCCAGGAAAGGACATTCCCCCTCAAGGGCAGGGACTATTTAGGGACATTCAACATGGGAGAAGCTGGCCTTCCCTGAGGGGACTTGGTGTTTTTCTAAGTCCTAGATAAGCATGGAAAGTACAGGCCAGGCCCAGATCCCGCAGATGAACTTCATGCCATAGGACCAGGAGGGGCAGAGCCAGCTTCTTGCACACAGGGTCATGCATAACCCTACCCCTTCTCTGCAGGCATTCATGGTTCAGAACACAGGTGCCTTTTACCACTGGATTGGCCTCACCGACAGTGGTACTGAGGGCTCTTGGCACTGGACAGATGGAACACCATTCAATAAGGACCAGAGCAAAGGGTGAGTCCAGTCACTGCCTGGCACTATTTCAGGCTCTCTCTTTGGCCGGTCTGGCTAGAGACTCTTGTAAACCCCTATCCTATGTGTATGTCCCTGCCTAGAGAGCTGTGCATGTAGTGTATGACATGTGTATGTTGTGTGGTATGTTTATGATGTGTGACTATGTGTGTGGTATATGTGATGTATGTATGTAACATGTGTGGTGCATGATGTGTTATGAGAATGATATGTGTATATGATGTATGTTGTACTGTGTAGTATGGGATGTGTGTATGGCATGTGATGTATATGATTTGTGTGCATGTAGCTTGTGTGGTGAGTGTGTGGCATATGTGGCAAGTACATGTGATATGTGTGGTACTTTTAATGTCCATAGAGGGATGTTAGGAAAGGACCATAAGTCTTGGTGCAGCCTGTGCATGGGTTCTGACTTTTTTATCTATTTCCTATTCTATGTGATATTCAGAGCTGGTCCCAAGGGACCCTGCTGTCCACTGGAAAGCATCTGAGTACGAATTCTGGGTTACGGGCTTGCAGCACACAGGATGCTCCTTCCTGGCCCTGGGTCTTCAGTAACTTAGGAGCCCTTCAGCAGAGTCACTCTCAGTGAATCTCTGGCTCCAGTCCTGTCCCCATCTTGGAGCCTCTAGGAGCCGAAAGACCCATGTCACTGTAGCTCTTCATGCCCCTACAGAGGGAAAGGACACTTGTTCTGTTGCTTGCAGGTTTTGGGACAAGAATCAGCCAGACAACTGGCTACATGCCAATGGGGAGACTGAAGACTGTGTCCATATGCAGAAGAAGTGGAACGACATCCGCTGCCAAACCTTCTTCCACTGGGTCTGCAAGAAGTCAAAGGGTCGGGAGGTGGCCTGAGGCAGGCCAGAGCCATGGGTCCTTCCGGACTACTGTGTTGCACCCTCCTCCCTGACACTGAACTCAGCCTGTCACCTGCGGCCTTCTATCGCCTTTTGTTTCCTGCCTTGTCTTTTCATTTAGCCCTTTCAAACATACTCACCTCCTGTGACCCAGAGGGATCAGTAGCTCCTCCAGGAGGAGCCCCGCTGTGTCTGTTTTCCTGCAGCCCAAGCCTCAGAGACAGCAGGTCCTCAATAAAGACTCACTTAGTGAACACAAACCCGTGTTTGCTTGTCCCTGTGACGGCCTCAACACTTGCTTTTCCCTGAACTGCCTTTCCTTCCCTCAATGTCCCTTTTGTCCTGAACCAAGCATACTTCGACCATTAATCCCGACATGTCAACTTCATTAGCTTAAGAAAAGCCTAGCAAAGAAGTAAAGCATGCTCCTGGGTGATCATGAAGGCACGGCCTTTGGTCCCAATGTGGTCCCTTGTTATTGCCCTGCTCTGCTTCCTGGTTGCTATGACATGAGCAGCTAGGCTCTTCCACGTCCTTCCCCATGATGTTTCTGCCTTGGAGTCAGCTGAGGACTGACTGAATGTGTGAGAAATTAAACTTTCCACCTTGTATTCTAAGTGTCCGTATTGTGTCCAGCAGCAGGCAAGCCGATTAGCATACATATGTTTATTTAAGGGACTTAGGGTTGTAAATTTTAGCTGCTTTGTTGAAAACAATAGAGGTTTAATGCAAGCTATTTCATAAGGGGGTTACAAGATCCCAAAAAGTTCCTGCCACCCTGTTGTTCCTGGGGGTTCCTCTGGGTGCAGATGGAGCTAGACGTTGGTTTTTCCAGCCTTTTAAACAATTCTAGCAGCCTGTTTCTCTTTCCCTCCTATGGGATGGCCCTATCTCTTCCTGCACGTTTCCGGCTCCAGCCTCTTGTGCTCTCTAGTTTTTCATTCCAACCTAGAATGGGAATTTCTTGAGCAGTTCTGTGCCAGGCTTGTGGGTGCACAGGGAATCCTACACAGAGTCCCACAGTTCTTTCTCAGCGTGCCTCCCTCCTCTTCATGGTCTGCCCCCAAAGTACAAAGCTCTCAGCCTCCCCAGTCTTGCACTTCTCAGCACAGCTAGAGTGTCACGTCCTGCTTAGGACTCTGCCATGCACGGTGGAAAGAGCTTCTAGGAAGAAAGCCTCAGGCTCACCTGTCTGCTTCCCTAGCTCAGGAACTTGGACTCCAATTTTCACTGTCTGTTGTTCAATGTCTGAGAGTGATTGTTCGTTATCCAATTTTCTACTGCTCAAAGAAAAGAAGTTCATCCAGTTACTTCATCATGACCAGAATGGGGAATCTGTTTCGAATTTCAATTTTTTTGTTGTTGTTGTTCAGCAGGATTTTAATCCCTTTGTGTTTGTATTTATCAACTTTTTCCTTTATGACTTTTTAGATTTGCATCTGTTTATGAAATCTTCCTCTATCCCAGGTTTGACATAACATTTACTTTATTTCTTCTAGTACTTTTATAATTTTAACTTTTACATTTACCCTACTATTCTATCTGGAATGTACCTTTGAGAATATTGTGAGGTAAGCTTCTACTTTTTCTAAAATATCACTAAATTATAATACGTTCCTTTTCATGAGTTTGAAAAGCCAAACTTCAACTACAGTACTAAATTCACAAGACTGTTTCTGGATGTTTGATATCATTCAAATTAACTCTCTTTTCCTTTATTGGGACCACATTGCTTTAATTTTGTAGTTTAATATATGTTTTGTTATTTAGTAGAGAAAGTGATGATTTCATAGACTTTTTCAAAAATTTTAGGTCTGTATTGTGGAACGGAGACTGACGACTAGTGAATTTCACTGAAGGGTACAAGGTGGTGGGAGCCAGATTTTTCTTTGGTGAATTGTTATATTTTTCATCTCAGGTAATCCAGTGATCTTGGAGACCTTCAGAAAATAATTCTCTTACCTTCTTCATGAAATACAGAAATTCGTCTTTCAGTTTTTTGCAGGTTGATAGGAAAGAGGGATAGAAGGCAGGACATCTCACTGTTGGGGATGGAGGTGGCTCCCAGCCCATCTGCTTTCAGTCTGGCTGTGCACATCTCTCAGGGTGTAGGCAAAACTATCCGTCTGCAATGTGCAGTGGTGGAAGCCGTAGGATGTTACCTGGTTACAGGGGAAGGGGAGAGGAAGCTCTAAAGGGCCTCCGTAACACTTCAACCAGTTCTGTTTCGGTCTGCTCTACACTTCTGCCTTTAGAGAAAACTGGTACCGCTGAGTCATATGAGTTTACTAATTTTTCCAGCATGGATTGCTCTGATTTTATTCACCTTCCCCAACTACCATCAATTATAGCTTCACTTTTTCACTTCTAAGTCAGTTGTCGCCCATGTATCCACGGCCAACTTTCAACCTTTGCTGCCTTTCTTGTCCGTTGTTGATTCATTTCTATCCTCTTCATTATCATGAGGTTTTCTTATTTTTATTCCTTTACTGCTATTGTAATAGGTTTGGGGAGGAAACAGCTGTGTGCATTGAATTTACCTCCTTTTTCTAGAAATTCTTCTTAAAAATTTTAAAAAATTTAAAAGATACTTTAAAAATGTTGTTAGCATGTATTGCAATCTATGTGGTTTGCAGTCATCTTGGGGAGAGGCTAATTGTGCATATTACAGTACCTTTATTTTTTCTTAATCGCCCTCCTCTCCCCTCCCCTTCCCCCTCCTCCTGTTCCCTGACTGGCTCTTTTTTGCTTGTTGATATTGTTTAGCTTAGCTCATATTATGGCATATAGTATTTATGTTAGCTAGGGTTAGCACGTTCCTATGCATGGCACATCTTTATTCCTCTCATTTCCCTCTCCTGTCCTCCTCATCCCTTGCCCTTGTCCCTTGGACCACTTCTCTATCCCAAGAGATTTGTCCACTTGTCCCTTTCTACTCATCCTTTATTATTTTTTTTTTGTTCATACTTTGCCTCACTCAAATGATGGGTCTGATTTATGTCACTCAACGTTGTATTTTCCAGGTGTATACATTTTCCATCAAATGGTTTCAAATGTGTCATTCTTTATAGCTGAGTAGCATTCCATTATATACAGGCACCACATTTTCTTTACCCAGCTGTCATTTGATGGGTATACAGGCTGCTTGCAGGATTTGGCTATTATGAATTGTGCTGCTATAAATATTGGTGTGCATGTATCTCTGTAGTATGACAACTTAAACTCTTTGGGGAAGATACCTAGCAGGAGAATAGCTGAGTCATATGAAATTTCTAAGTTCAGTTCTTTGAAAAATCTCCACACTGATTTCTATGATGGCTGCGTTAGTTTGCCTTCCCACCAGCAATGCAGGGACTTTCATTTTCACCACAGTCATACCAGCATTTGTTACTGTTTGATTTCTTCATGGTTGCCATTTTTCTGGAGTGAGATGGAATTGTAGCATTATTTTAATTTGCATTTCTCTAATGGCCAGTGATGTTGAACATTTTTTCACATATTTGTATTTTTTCCTCTTCAAGGAAAAATTTTTTTCCTCTGTTCATTTCTCCTGCCAACTTCTTGATAGGGTTTTTAATTTTAGGTGGTTTATTTATTTTTTTGTTATTTACATATTCTAGACAATAGTCCTCTGAGGAGTAGCTGGCAAAATTTTTTCCCATCTGTAGGTTGTCTCTCCACTTTACTGATTGGTTTTTTTGCTGTACAGAAGCTTTTTAGTCTATTTTATTTACTGATTATTGCCACTATTTCGTATGTAACTGAGGTTCCTTTTAGAAAATCCCTTCGTATGCCTATGTCTTCAAGTATTTATCTTTCAGAAGGCTTACTATTTCTTTGATCTATTTTGATTTTAAGTTAGTATCTTGTGAGAGATAAAGGTCCAGTTTCATTTTTCTACAATTAGGTAACCAGTTTTCCCAACACTGCTTGTTGAATAAGCTCTCTTTCCTCCAACATAAGCTTTCGGCCACTTAGTCAAAGATCAGATAGTTCATATGTCTGGGGAGGGTTCTGTGCACTAAATCCTGTTCCATTCATGCACATGTCTTTTTTCATTCAGTGCCATGTTGATATTTTTTTAAAAAATCACTATTGCTTTGTAGTACAGCTTGAAGTCAGGTATTGCTATGTCACCTGCTTTGCTCTTATTGTCCAGAATTACTTTTGCTATTCCGGGTCTCTTCTGGATCCATAAAAATTTTAGGATTGTTTTCTTTAGGTATGCATAGTGTGCTGTTGGGATTCTGATTGGGACTGCACTGACTGTGTATAACATTTTTGGAAGTGTGGCCATTTTGACAATACTCATTCAACCTATCCAGGATCGGGGGACATCTTTCCATTTTCTGGTATCTTCTTCAGTCTCCTTCTTCAGAGAACTGTACATTCTTTGTGAATGTCTTTCAGTTCAGTGGCTAGGTTAATTCCTAGATATTTTACTTTTCTTGAAGCTTCTGTGAACGATATTATTTTCACAATTTGCTTCTTATTGTGCCCATTATTGGTGTACATAAATGCTAATGGCTTTGGTGTTTTCATCGTGCATCCTGCTATATTGCTGAAATTAGTTATTAATTATAAGAGGTTTTTTATTTGTGAAGTTCTTCGGGTGTTCCATGTAGAGTACCCTCTTATCTGCAAATAGTGATAATTTGAATTTTTCCTCTCCTATGTGTATTCCTTTTTTTCTTCTTGCCTAATTGCTCTGGCAAATGTTTCAAGTACTATGTTGAATAGAAAAGATGATAGTGGGGCTGGGGATTTAGTTCGGCGGCATAAGCGCCTGCCTTGCAAGCAGGCAGTCGTGAGTTCGATCCCTGGTACCGATAAAAAAGGAAAAAAGACAAAAAAAAAAAAAAAAAAAAAGAAAAGATGATAGTGGACATCCTTGTCTTGTTCCTGATTTTAAGAGCAATGCATTTATTTATTTATTTACCAGGGATCAAACTCATTATGGAACTAGTCACCCGCCATCTGTAGTCTAAAAATAATGGCGAACTGTTAGCTCAGGGATAGTTAAGCATGAAGGACTCCTTCCTTCTTACAGTCTGGGTCACTTCTCTTGCTGATGCTGGCCCCTTCTCCAGAGAGTGTTCTGAAAGTTGCAATTTCCTCAAGAGAGAGGCGGATAAACAAGTTCTCCATAGACTGACTGGAGCCATCCGGGAAACAGAAGTTCTCAGTTGACTCGGGGGAAGTGGCCAGCTTGTCACCCAGGAGTGCCTGCCCATTTTGCCTTCACTGTAGGGAACTCTCTGCAGCTGTAACCCTCTGTGGTATGGGTTGCTTTTGTGGTACTAGGAGGCTGTGACGATTGCAACAATGTGGGATATACTATTGATATTCCACTAGCCCTCTCTCTCAGGTTTTCTAACTTTCTGGGTATGAGGAGACAAACTGATGGATCCTGGGATTCTATACATTTTGACTCAGGGGCAAACCTGACCCTGGCATTATAGTTGTCATGTAATGGCCTCCCAGACCTGATGTTTGGGGAACAGGGAGAGGTTTCTCAATCAAGAGAGGAGACACATTATGGAGGGAACGGTAATAACAGTTTGAGAATGAGAGAAGTCACTATAGGAAAAAGTGCACA